ATACACGTGACCAGTATAATGTACATGTTCTTTACCAGATATTTGCTTGTAGAAAATCACCAGAGCAAACAGACCAAGCCTATAGCAGAAGGTGTGAACAAATGAACAGTTTTAAGTCCCCAAAGCTATATTATAAGTTATACAAAGAGTTAAAAGAGAATTCCCATTAAGGTTTCCACATGTTTGAAGTTGGTCTGATTATAAAGACCACAACAGTGATGCAATTAGAAAAACATCTAGAAAGCCCTACAACTGCTTGGTGTTTGACCAGACATCAGAGTGTGGGGTCGAGGGTGGTAGATTAAAAAAAAATATAAGATTCAGGCTATAGGTGTAGCTCAGTGGTAGAGTACTTGCCTAGCAAGCATGAAGCCTTGAGTTCAATCCTCAGTGTCACAAAATAGCAATAACAACAAAAAGAGCACACGTTCCTGGGCAACTTAGTAGATCTTATTTCAAAATAAAAATGCATAATGTTTTTAAAAGGGGTTGTAGCCCTTTTAGATAGAGTACTCTACCTGCTAGGTACAAAGCCCTAGTTTCAATCCCCATCATTGAAAAAACAAAACAAAACAATGATAGTGAGCATATTGCGGGGATGGAGGAACAGAAGATGAACTTGATAGGAGCTTCTACTATGTTACTCAGTAAGTGGCAGGAAGGAAACAGCTATGGACAATACAGAAGAGCATTTTAATCACGCAGAGGTGAGTGTGACATGAATATATTCAAATAATAAATACATACAAAAGGCCATTGTATAGAATGTCTTGTATATTCATGGTGACAGAAAGTAGAGTAGAGGTTACTGGGAGCTGGGGAGACCATAGTGCCATGATCTGAATATGGCTTATCTCCACCAAAACTCATATTAAGGCTTTATTTTTCAATGCAACAGAATTGGGAGGTAGGAATTTGTAGGTAATAGTGAAAAGATAAATGTTATGTGGCAAGAGCGAATCCTTGCTTTCAGGGGACTTGGTTTGTTGCTGGGAGACCAAGTTGTTGTAAAGCAATTTTTTCCCTCTTATTTGATCTCAACACATGCCTGGTGTACTTCAAGCTTCTCTGAACATGCAGCAAGCACAGGACTCTCAACAGAAGCCAAATAGATGCACCTGCTCAGTCTGAAAGTTTCAGCTGCCAGAACTGTGAGCTAAATAAACCTTTATTCTTTATAAATTGCCTGGGTCCAGGTGTTCTGTTATTGCAAGAGAAAATAGACTGAAACAAAGATGTATTGCTTGGTGTGCACAGAGTTTGTCTAGAAGGTGAAAAAGTTCTGGAAATGGATGAAGACGGTCATTGTACAACACTGTGAATGTCCTTAATACCACTGAAAGCACACTTTGAGGTAGTTAAAAGGGTAATTTTACATTGTGGAGAGATGAAGGTAGCACGAGGGGCAATAAAGAACAACTAGAAATAGTTCGATACAGAACGGGCAGTGTAGGTCAGTGGTAGAGCATTTTTTTCTGAGAGGTCCTGGGTTCAATTCCTACCACCACAAAAAAAAATGGATATCAAATATATTACAGAGAAACAAACCATGAATTACTGATATAGTAAATTGGATGTGATAGGTGAGGGGAAAAGATAATTAAAGATATCCCTAGTTTGAGGCCCAAAGAATCAAATGGATGATGAAATAGAAAGGATTTAAAAAGGAAGAGTTTTCAAAAGGTATGATATCTAATGCAGATGGCTATTAGACTTCTCAATGGCCACAGCAAGTTTGTAAAACAAATGAATGAATTGTGGGGATTGTAGTCCTACACCCTGTCTCCAAAGTTCCTCACCTGAGTAGAGTACCATACAATTAAGAAGGCTACTTAGGGACAGGGATTTAGCTCAGTGGCATAAGCGCCTGCCTTGCAAGTGCATGGTCGTGAGTTTGATCCCTGGTACCGATAAAAAAAATAAAAAAGAAGGCTACCTAGCTCCCAGCTTCACCTAAGAACTGGAAGAAAGTGGTTTGCATGACAAGCACCCAACTCCTCCAAGAGTGCTCCCAAAGGACTGGATTCTGTCTTGCTTGTCTTGGAGCTTTAACAGATCCATCAGCAACAGTCCAGCTACATAGGAGAGAATGATGACAGTGGCATGGGATGGTAAGCATGACTGATCTTCTCTTCTGCTCATCATACAGTGAACAAGTGAAAAATAATCCCAGTTCTCACTTTTTCCCCGGGAGGGAAAGGGTTTATCCACAAATCCTTCACTCAAACTTCTCTGTGGCTCCCCCTAAAACTAGTATCTGTCTCACGAGTCCTGGAATTCTGATGGGTCAGGCATAGTCTACCTACCTGGAACAGAAAGCCTGATGTCTGTTCAGTAAAGAGTCATTAAACTGAACTGAACTGAGCTGGGATCAATCTGGGAAGCCTGGACTTTGGGCAGACCTCAAAGGATTAGCAAGACACAGAAGGATGGATGTGGATATTTCAGGTTAAGAGTAGTAGACACACAGTTGGAAGGCATGGGGTGGAGGACATTCCAGATGCAAAGACACATACACATCTAGAGAGGAAGATTGTATGTTGAAACACAAAACCTCACCCCATTCATATGTTACAATTCTATCCTCTGCTACTTCAGAATGCAGCTGTGCTTTGAGATGGACTCTTGAGAAGGATGATTGAGTTAACAGGAGGATATACCATGGGCCCCAATCCAGTCAGAGTCCTATCTCTTCTCTCTCCCTCTTCCCTCCCCCCTCACTTCTTTCTTTGTGTTTTGTTTCATTCCTGACAGTCTCAGTAAATTGTCCAGGATAGCCTTATAGTCTTGAACATATGATCCCCCTGCCTCAGTCTCCAGAAAAGCTGGAATTACAAGCATGTGACACCAAGCCTGACTGACTGGTGTCTTTAGAAGAGAAAATTTGATGAAAAAGATACTAAAGGTGTCCAAACACAGAGGAAAGCCTACATGAGGACACACAGTGAAAGTAGCCACCTACAAGTGCCTGTTTTGTCCTGCTATAATACATGGAAGACTTGGGATAGAAAATGTATAAAAAACAAAAATTGAGGAGCTAAAGAGTCCAAGATCAAAGAGCCGGTATTTGGTAAGTGCCTTCTTGCAGCAGCTTCTCAGGGCAGGACAAGAGAAGATGAGAGAGAGAATGCGCTTGATTCCTACTTGTTCATACTCTTGCAATGGTAATTAAACTTCAACACGAGTTTGGGAGAGGACAAACATTGAAACACAGGACCAAGGAAGCCAAGGAGAAAAGCCTCAAAGAAACCAGCTGTGCCAATCCTTAAAACTTAGATTTACAACTTTCAAATCTGTGAGAAAATAAGTTTTTGTTGACTAAGCCATGTAGTTGATGGCATTTTGTTATGGCAGACAGAGCTAAGACTCTGTACATGCCCAGGGATATCACCCATGCCCAACACTCCTATCACTTCATCTAGAGGAATCAGGGCTTCTCTTGGCCGATGCATCTCTGGATCCACGGATCCTCTTAGGAAGGGAAGGGAGTGACGGAGCTGTAGGGATGGCAGCCGTGTAGCCCACTTTTACGCACCAGCATTTAGCAAGGGGGCAGCTGGAAAGAGCTAATGGTTTTTCAGCATTTGAGCAGAGATAAGGGCCTCCCTCAGAAAGTCACATCAAAAGGCAAAATGAACGACTGCTAGTAAAAGAGTAAAAGCCAAGTAACAATATGAAATGTTCTGTCACTAAAGCCACATAAGAATGGCATAAACACCATGTAGTACAAAAGGTCCAAGGGAGGAAAAGAAAGTGGGGGCCGTAGGTGAGATGGAGTGGTTATAGCTGAGAAAGATTCTGAGATAAACTAAAAAAGAATTCAGCATAATTCACCTCCGAAGATTGGCTGCAAATAGGTATTATTCACATACTCACGTTTCATTCTCACACCTGGCAATTACCCTTATTCTCCCAAAAGTAACTATATATTCCCATTTGCCAGAGTTCCTCAAGATAATCAACATATAATCCAAGAAAAATAAATAAATAAATATGAAAATGTTGTGACTAAACAGACTTCTTTAATGCAGTTTGAAATTCTCAAAGTACATTTGTAAACCTCCCCGAAATAATTAGGCCATGAATCCTTTGATTCCTCCAAAATAATCTCAAAGGACTAACATTGTGGGAAGCATCACTGCCATCCTGACGTGTCATCCTGACCAAAAAATAGCAGCCACCATGGTGAGCAACCAAACTTAAAGAATAGCTCTGCCTTCAGACCCCAGACATTTGCTAATGAGTTGTATGTGGGTATGTATGTGTGACAAAATAATTAGAGTATAGCTACCCTATACAGTTAGCATTAGGGTATAGCCGATTTAAAAAAAATAATAATAATAATCTTACTGTTTCTGTGGGACCCTGTGCTAAAAACCTTACCCCACAGCAATCCTTGCATAAAAGTCTTTTTTTTTTTTTTTCTTGCACTTGCAAGGCAGGCACTGGACCACTAAATTATATCATCTTGCATGAAAATAAGGTTTTAAAATCACCTTCATTTTGCAGCTATACGAGCTGAGGCACAGAGATGCTAAGTGTTTTTCTCCTGGTCAAGCATCTCATAACTGATAGATCCTCTAGGGGCATGACTTGAAGTAAAATCACAGCCTGAAAAAGAGGGGTGGGGCGGGAGAGAAACACCTTCAGGAAGCAGCTAAAACTCTTCTATCTTCCGGAAAGGACCAGCTAATCTCTGAGCTAATGCAGAAATAGATGGTTCTACTGGAACTAGGAAGAATCTGAAACCAGGCTCCAAGTAGACATGGACCATAGAGATCGGCAAAAGCACTTGGAAGTCAGATAAAACACAGTTTAGAGGTTCACGAGCTCTGCAAAGTGTCAAAGGATCCACACAGGGAAGTGCTTTTCTTGCTAACAGCAGCAGCAGCCCCACCAGCTCAGACATACGTGCTGGCATTTTCTGGGTCTGGACAGCAGCCTAAGATTCTTGTGAAAACTTAGCCTCAAGTTTTTACCCGTTGTTGCTGTTTACTTACCACAGTAGGTGTACGAAATATTTGCATCAGAGGAGTTGCAGATCCAGTAGTGGTCCTTAGGCTCAGTAAACACGGGAGAAAACAGAGTAGAAAAAAGTACAAACGGGAGCATGATTCAATGTCTCTGTAACTTTAAAAATGTAAAGAGGATCAGTAAATAACCATTAGATGTTTCCTTTTCAATAAGCAGGAAAGATTTAACTTAGTCACTGGTCACATGATTCCCGAGTGCCTATCCAGTAGTTTCCTCTTTTTATGTGTGTTACACTGTGTGTTCGGTATTTGAGAACTTCCTGGAAGGACAGAAAAATGATTTACGTCGTAGTGTTTTTGAACACTTTGTGAAAGTGAAAGTGACTGGAGGTTTAAAAAAAGATACTTTCCAATTAATAAGTAAAAAAAAATCCTCTACTTTCCTGCTTTTTAAAATGAAAAACAATAAAATAAAATTTCATAATCAGATAAAAAAATAGCTATGCTATTTCATGTTGTATCATCATCTTCAAAGTAGTTACTCAGAGTACAAAACATAAACGGAAAAAGATTCTTACAAAAAAAAGCCAGATAATAATTCAAATTTCTTCTTTTCAATGAACTAAGATGAACTAGTAGTACAAATGAAATTAATTAGCATACATATTGAAATATTTTTAAAACACTGAAACTTATAATTTGGGGAAGAATTTCAGCTTCTCTCTTTTTCCTATTTATGTCTCTTCCATTTTGCTCTTTGTGTTTCTCATATAAGAGAAGCCATGCAATATTTGAGCTTGTGTGTCTGACTTACTTCACTTAACATGTTCTTAAATTGCATCCATTTATCCATGAATGCCTCAAGACCATCTTTCTTTATGGTGGCATAGAACTCTACTGTGTATAAATACACATTTTCCTTATCCATTCATCTGTTGATGGACATATATACTGTTTCCAAGAATTACCTATTATAAATTGTGCTGCTGTAGACAGAGGTATGTATGTATCCCTGTAATATGACTATTTTAACTCTTTGGGACATATCCAAAAGAGGCATAGCTGAGTCACATGGAATTTCTATTTTTAGCTTTTTGAGGAATCGCCACATTGATTTCTATAATGATTTTACTAGTTTCCATTCCCACTAACAATATAATAGAGTTCCTTTTCTCCTACATCCTCACCAGGAATTGTTATTACTGGTATTAGGGTTTCTTTGATGATAGCCATTCTTTCTGCAATAAGATGGTATCTTAGTGTAGTTCTAATTTGAATTTCCCTAATGGCCAGTGATAAGCATTTTTTTCCATGTATTTGCTATCCATCTGTATCTCTTCTTTTGAGAAATGCCTATTCATTTCAATTGCTTATTTTTTGGCTAATTCTTATTTTGGGAGTCTAATTTTTTTGAGTCCTTTCTATATTCTTGATATGTGTCCTCTGTCTAAGGAATAGCTAGCAAAATTTTTTTTCTCATTCTGCAGATTCTCTTCACAGTTTCCTTTGTTGTGCAGAATATTTTAAATTTAATATGATCACATTTGTTGATTTTTGTATAACAGTTTTGCAAGTATAGGCATTTTGACTATGTTGGCTCTGCGTAACAAGAAACAGGGGATATTTCTCCAATTTCTGATGTTCCCCTTGATTTTGCTTTTTAGTCTGATGCAATTTTCATTTCTAATTTATTCTTAATTAGGTTACCTAAGTATTTAATTTTTATGCTATATGAATAGTACTATTTTCCTAACTGCTTTTTCAATGTGTACATTCTAGTGTATAGGAATACTATTGGTTTTTATGTGTTTATTTATTTTTTTTTTCTTTTTTTGTCTTTTTCCTTTTCATCGGTACCGGGTATGTGTTTATTTTGTATTCTGTTACACTGCTGAGTTTGGTGATCAATTCTAGTAGTCTTTGATGGAGTTTTTTGAGTCTTGTAAGTAAAGAATCACATTATGAATACTTTTTTACTTCATTCTTTTATTTCTTTGGCTTGCTTGATTGCTCTGTTTAATGTTTTGAGGACTATGTTGAACAGGACTGATGATAATGGACATCTGCTCTCCTAGTAGTTAAGTTTCAACAGATGCATTCTTCATCTGCATAGCCATTCTCACCTGCAAGCTCTTAATGCAATGATTTCTTATGGCTCAAAGAACTGCACCTATGGATTTGAACTAAACAGGGGTGCAAGCTACTTCAGCTCAGCAGCAGGTTCAGCCTCAGGACAGAAGCAGCAAAATGACAACCTACACAGGGACACCAGCCTACAGCACTGAGTTCCAAGTAAGGCCTCACTGCTGTGAAAGAGTGCACTTTTCTTCTGAGTTTTCTAGTCTTGTTTGATGCTTGGGATTGAACCTGGGTCCTTGTGCATGTTTGGAAGTATTCTACTTCTGAGCTCTAATTCAAGACCTACAGGGAAATTTTAAGTCCCGATATTATTATTTTAATGTGGCATGTATTTCATTTCAAACTTGTTACTCTTAGAGAAACAGCTATCCCTTTAGATGCTCTGCTACTTGAAATCCTTTATAGGATGTGTTTTAGTGTTAATCACAAATGGCAGAGTTGTGGCTTAAAAATCTGCACACATAAAAGGAAAATAATGTTACACCGGTAAAAGGATTTACTGTGGAACTGTGCTACATTTCCATCTTTAAAAATGTAAAAATCCACAAGAAGAGGAGGAAATGGGAAGTTATTCAAGGGATACAGTTTCAGGCTTAGTGAGATGAAAACGTTCTAGAGATCTCTGTTGCACAGCAATATAAATATAGTTAACACTAGTGAACTATATGCTTAAAATTGGTTAAGATGATAAATTTTGTTGTGCTTTGATCACAACTTTAAAATAAAAGGATTAAAAAGTCAAGCTGGAATGCTGTGGGACTGTAACTGTAGCACTCTGGAAGGCTGGGCAGGATGATTGCAAGTTCAAGGCCACCTTGGGCTACATAGCAAAACTGTCTCAATATCCCCAAAAGGAGGAGGAGAGAGACAAAACCCCATGAATACCTCGTATTCCATTTCCTACAAGAAGAAACCAGAATTTCATGGAGAAATGATTGATTTCAGTTTGGGGATAGAAATGTACAAGATTAACCAGAAATACTTTATCGTATTAGATAACCAATTTGAAAAAGATTCTATTCACGGAAGAAGAATGTTACTAGTTTCATATTGCAGCTGTAATGAATTACCACAAATTTAAAGAACTAAAAAGTTACAAATATATTCTACACTTCTAGTGGTCAGAAGTTCAAAATGAGTTTCTCCAGACTGAAATCAAAATATTTATATTAAGCAAGAGCTCACTGCTTGGTACACATAGAAGACAATATTATGGCATCAGTTTTTGCAAAAAGAAAAGGCTTTTTTGTAGGTCCCACAAGGAGAAAAGAGTCATGTTCCCATCTGCCTGACTTACCAGGCTCCTACAGAAGGAATTTAAAAAATAGAAGAAAAAGATGAAGTAGTAAACTGACCGTTGTAACCAGGAGTCCTAGTGGAATCATCTCCCTATCCCAACCGCCCATACACTGTCCAGGTGAAACTGTGGATATGCGGTAACTAGTAGTTTCTGTCCTGTCCCTCTGTCATTTCTATCCTCCTGCATTTGTTGACAACATCCCTGGTTTTTGGTCCAGGTCCAAGAGGTGCGGTTCTCCTTCAGTTTCTGCTCATTGAAGACCTTTGGTTTCCCCAAGCTTTTAAAGTCATTTTAGTTCAGGTTTTAGGATTCTGCACTTCTGCCCTGAAAAGCAGCTTGAGCAGTTTTTAGAGCAGAGAATTGTTTCAGTGTCAGCAGAGCTGGTTCCTTTCAGAGACTTCAAGAGAAAAACATTTTCTTCGCTTTTTCAGCTTTCTCCATCTTCATAATGCACAACTCAAATCTCTGCTTTCAGTATTCCACCACGTTCTCCTCTGATCCTGGGCCTGCCTCTTGCACAACTCAAATCTCTGCTTTCAGTATTCCACCACGTTCTCCTCTGATCCTGGGCCTGCCTCTTACAAGAACTCCTTATCCAAATGGGCCCAGGTAGATAACCAAGGATAAGACAATTCAAAATCCTTAATTTCATTATATCTGTAGAATATTTTTTTTTTCTGGTACTGAGAATTGAACACAGGCCTTCACACTTGCCAAGCAGATGCTTGTGCTATGGAGCTGGAATCCTTTTTGTCATTAAACATTCAGTTTCTCATGATTAGACTATGAACATCTTATTGTACCATTTAATATTCTTTTTGACCATCAATAAAATAGTGCCTGGAGTAAGTTGAAATACATAAATATTTAAGTCCACAAATTTATAGCATATTTTTACATCTAATTATCATCAAATGATATGTAAGGATTCTCTCTTCTCTCTCTCTTTCTCCCCCCCCCTTCCCTCCCTCCGTCCTTCTCAGTATTTTTAAACAGTTTTATTTTGAAGCAAATTCTCACTGATTCACTAATTGCCCAAACTGAGGTTGCATTTGAGCTCCTTTAATTCAGCCTCCCAAAGTCCTGGGATTATAGGCATGCACCACCACACTTGGTTTATTTCAACTTTTCTGTACTGAAAGACCTACTGACTTATGAAATAGAGAGGGGTAATTTCCCCTTGCCTTCTTGTATACTTATCTCTACTTTTAGGAGTATTTCCCCTAGTAAATGAAAAATAGACTAATAAAATATAATCATTTTACATCTAATGAATTAGTAGATTTTGGCATTGCGAATGAATGGTTGTTAATACCACCAGAAATAAAAAAATCTTGGAAGCAGCTTATATGTCCATCAACAGATGAATGGATGAATAAACTGTAACATATATATGTATATATATATACATTTATATATATATATATATTAGCTATAGAGAAGGATAAATTGGAATCTTTTGTAGGAAAATGGATGCACCTTAAGATCATAATGCTAAAAGAAAAAAAATCAGACTAAGGTTAACTATTGGATAGATTCTCTTGTATGAGAAATCCAAAGTATAAATAATTTAAAGAGCAAAACAAAAGCTAATAGGAAATAGGGAGGTAGACCTTTTGCAAATGGACCGGGGATCTAGGGATGGAAAAAGAGATGGAGGATACATATTTGTACCACCTGTCACAATGAAAGTATTGATTATGTCCCATAAATATGTACTAATAAAAAATGTGAGACCAGGGATTTAGCTTAGTGGTTAAGCACTTGCCTGGCAAGCGCAAGCTCATAAATTCAATTCCTGGTACCAAGAAGAGAGAATGAGAGAGAGAGAGAGATGACGGGGAGAGGGACCACATGTGACTAATCTTCGGAGAAAAAAACATTGAGCTAGCATTGAGGTAGCTAGCCTCCAACATGGCTCTCAAAGAGCCTTATCCTGGTATGTCCCTGTAAATCATCTCCAACACTGAATAAATCTAACTGCATAACCATTGTAGTACAACAACAGTGTCAAGATGTCCCCTCAAAGCCTCGTGTGGTCATGGGTTTCCAGAGGTAGATGAACCTAGAGTGTGTGATTGATTTGTAGTGTGGTGCTGGGAATAAGGGTGAGACTGAGACTGGGTGATGGCTGGATCAGTCTACTGATTGGATTAGCACTGCCCTAATCCCAGTAGTCTGGATAAAAGGAGCAAAAAAAGGCTTGTTTCACCCTTTTTGCTCTTCTTGCTTTTGCTATCTCCCCCTTCCCCACTATTAACTGTTGCCTTTCTGCTCTACCAACCTGCCCTGGAGCCTACTGATTATAGACTGAAACCTCTACAAACTGTGAGCCAAATAAATCTTTCCTCCTTTGAGTGTTCAGTATTTTGTCTCAGCAACAAGAAACAAGTAACTAAGACAACTGCCAAAAAGCTAGCACCAACTGTCAGTCACAAGAGTGAGCCATTTTGGAAGCAGTTCTTCCTGTTCCTGTCCAGCCTTCAGATGACAGCAGCACCAACTAATTAGTGGACTGCAACTTCATGAGAGAACTTGAGCTAGAACCACTTTGCTAAGTCACTGCCCAACTTCAGACAAATACAGGGGCAATATTATGCAAAATTAGGTAACCCCTACAGTCATATACAACTGTAGGTGACTAACCCAACCCTACTGTCAAGAAGCTTCCAGATCCAACTACCAATTTGGAAGAATCCCAGAGCATAGAGAACCATGCTAAAATGCACTTCAGGGATAAAATTAGAAAATTTAGACCATGGAAAAACCTAAAGGAGTAAACAACTCAGTTTCAACGGATCATTTGCAAGAGGAAAAAAAGTGGAAAAAAATAGGGAATTCATACACAGATGATTCGTGAGACATTCCAATATTTGGTATGAATATAGTATGAACATGCTTTAGATCACAATCCAAATAAAATGTGGGAAGTGGTAGAAGGATGCAAAATATAGGATTAAATATTTGATAACAGGGTTTTGTTTTGCAGATATGGTAATGCTTCTGTGGTTATTTTTTGAAGAAATTCTTCTCAGATTTAAGAAAGAATATTATTGTGACTGGGATTTGCTTCCAAAAAAGTTAGAAGGCAAGTGGTCAGGGCTGATGACACAATATTGATTATGAATTCATCACTGTTGAACCTGGATAATAGCACTGTCTTGATTCACAGTAATCTATTTTTCTAAGTATGAAATCCTCAAAAGAAAAAAAAATAAATAACAAATTGTCTTAGTTTCTTTTCTCCTTGTTGGGACAAAATTCCCAACACCCAAAATTAAAAGGAGTTTTATTTAGCTCAGTCTGTAAAGGTTTCAAGCCATTAACGGCTAACTCCATGGCAGAGAAAAGTTCATGGTGTCCACAAGGCAGCAAAAAGCAACAAGGAAAGTGGGGAGACACGACTCTTTCTGTTCTTTATAGTGTATGCAGGCTACCCACCCTAGGAGAGGTATAACACAGCCTTAGGCCTAGCCAGAATTATGCCAAGCCAATTAGTGGACTGATCTACTGATCACACACTCTAGATTCAGCTACCTGTGAAAAAGCCCCATGACTGCATGAAGCCGTACGGGGACATCTAGACACAAGGTATCTCAGAAGAATCTGAATACAATCTTTTTTTTTTTTTTTTTTTTTTTTTTTTGTCTTTTTCATTTTTATCGGTACCAGGGATCGAACTCACAACTGCCTGCTTGCAAGGCAGGCACTTATGCCGCTGAGCTAAATCCCCAGCCCCCTGAATACAATCTTAATAAAAACAAGCTAATGCATCACTCATAACAACAGGTATTTTGTTATTTTTACCTACAAAAAGTGAGGCCTTTGAGTACAATGAAATTTATATTAAGGAAAAGGACTGCAATGATGTATTTTTGTTGTGATTGCATTTATTATGATATAGCATAGATGTATACACTCTCATATCAGCTAGGTTCACTAGTGGAAAAGATTTATATATATATATATATATGATTATATCAAATATTTACAAGGAAGGCTTACAATGGCTGTAGCGAAATCAGTGGTGGAAGAATGCAAAATGACTACCTGCTGGAGAGCTGGAGAATCCCAGAGGATGTAAGGCTTGGAGCTCACTGCAGAGTCCAGGGCAGGTTTGTATTGGAAAGTCAGTGTTTGTGTTGAAAAACCGTACCCTGAAAGAACGGAGCCCAACATCCAAAGGCAATGAAGACTGGAAATCCTCCAAAGTAACAAAAGGGAAGACCTCCTTCTTTTACTTTGTATTTCATCCAACGTACAGCCTATTGGTTGGTGCCACCCACACTGAAGGTGGATCTTCCATGTTCAGTTTGTGACATACACTTAAATCATCCAAGACACACCCAGATCCACTCAAGTAGACATATCAATTACCAATCATAGCCCTTTTGAGAATCAAATAATAGACTCACCACCACTTTCCCTAAACAATCTGAGACACATTTCCTTCAGTTTTTTGAGGGAACACTGAGATGAGGGTGGCATGGTATCATGAAGCAGGGACATGCATTTTATTCTCCTTGTGGTCTAAGTAGTTTCTGCTGACTTATTTTGATGATGCTTCGTAGAAATAATTGCTGATCCCTCCTGTGGTCTAATTCCAAGCCATGTCCTTCAAGTCTCCTTTGCCATTTAGTGCTTTTTTCCTCCTACTCTTCTGATTTATACAAACTAATAAAAACTTTTTCATAGGTGAAAAAAAATGATCACTTGGATATGACATTTAAGGAGTTACATATTCCTTGCAAAAGTGTGACATCACTTTCTGTTCCTTGCAGTTGACCTTATCATCTATGTTTTGAAGAGCAGCAGTATCCGATGACTTGTTTCATGGTTTTGCATTTTGTGAATGTTTCTTGAAGATTAAACATTTGTGTAAATTATATACTTAACTTCAATAAAGGGTTTTTTTAAAGAGATGTACTCAAAATTAGTTATTGAGTTGTTGGGAGCCATTGAAGCTGGAAATTGACCGTATGTGCAAGGCTGGAACATGACAATTTCAAGAACAAAGAACTCCTGGGGCAGCCACCTGAAGCAGCTGCTTCAGCCCACAGAACACCTAGCCCTAGGAAGATCTGAACAGTGGGTTGCTAGGACAAGAGGATGTAATGTAACACTAAGTCACTCAAAGGTATAAATAAACACCTTTGCAGTGAGGAGTCAGTATCTTTCCTCCCATCAGGATGCTTTTTTTTTGGTCTTTTTTAGACAGGGTCTTGCTATGCAGTTCAGGCTAGCCTTGAACTCACTTTGCAGCCCAGGCTGACCTCAAACTCACAACAGTCCTCCTGCCTCAGCCTCACAAATGCTGGAGTGTGACCTGGAAGAGTGTATTCTCGTCCCTTCCTCTTTTCTCTTATAGCAGATCACAAACTATACATAGACATTCTTACTACAGACAACAATGACTCTTTCAAAATGTTTTTATGTGGCAAAAAAATATTCATACACTTAGAAATATCCAAATGCAGAGAAAAACACAACACTCCTGTTTGCTTCTGACATTTGATCCTCAGTTTAGGAGAAACCACATTTACACCATATAGGCATATAACAACATGTGTGTATATATTCACTTTCTAAAACAAATATGAGACTATTTTTTATTTTTCAAACATAGCTACTCTATTATAAAGGATCATTCTCTGAAAATTAATAGAAGCTCTGATAATTTCAAATTATTTTTAACAATGACAATACAAAAGTAAAGGCAATTTTATACCTGGTAACATAAATTACATTTAAGCACAAATATACAAACAACAGGCTCATTTCTCAGCCTCAAGCTGCTTCTTTTCACTGTCTTCTTCTACATCAAAAGTAAATGGTTTGTCATAACCCATTAGATGGTTATAGTCTTCAGGGTTTGGAAAGAGCATTGGATTAACTAACAGTGATTTTGTTTTAGCATAAAATGTGGTAAACACATGTGTGCTGTCTGGAATCTTCACGTCATTCTGGTGAAACACTGTGCTTGTTTCTGAAAGCACTACACTGTAAGTAATGGCTTTGTAAGTGTCCGTTGTGGGCTCGTGGTACAACCGAATGACATAGCCTTTTGTAAGAAAATGAAGCAGTGCCGGGGTGATCACCGTAAAGCTTCCTATAACACCATAAAATAGGACTTGCAAAGACAGATTTCCAAATATATTGCTTTGTGAAAAGAGGTATGGTAGAAATGTAAGGCTGATCAAACTTGTAGAATAAGAGAAACATTTCACACCTAAGTGGGAAAAAAATTGAAGAAAATTAATAATTAAATTTTATAAAAGAATCAATGTATCTCATTAATTCTACTTTTCTACTCCTATATCATCAAAACACCAACAAAATCAAAACATAAGTATAGTATTTATTACACATCAGACTCTGTCCTAAGTACATCACGTATTTTATTCATGAAATCTATCGAAAATCCTCAGGAAAAGATGTGTATGCTGGCACAGTGGCACATACCTGTAATCTTAGAACTTGGGAGGCTGAGGCAGGATAGCTACAAGCTCAAGGTCAGCCTGGGCTACCTAGTGAGTTCAAAACCACCCTGAACTAAACAGCATGACCTTGCCTCAAAAAAAAAAAAAAAAAAAAAAAAACTGGAACTATTATATCATATAATTTTAAAAATTAGAAAAGAAGTAATTTGGTGTGCTAGTGCATGCCTGTAATCCCAGCACTCAGGAGGCTAAGGCAGGAGGATCTTGAGTTCAAGACCAGTCTGAGTTAGACAGGAGAGACTCTGTCTCAAAAAAGAGAAAAAGAGAAAGACTGGGGCAGGGGGTATATCTTAATGGCTAAGTATTTGCCTATCATGCTTGATACATCAGTAGTGCCCAACCTATGGCATGTGTGCCATAGCAGGCTATTAGGATCACTGAAAGTTCCAAAAAGTTCACCATTGCTGCTACAGATTAATCCCCAGTTTCACAAATTCTTAGGTAATTAACTAACTAAAATAGAAAAATAAGCTAGGTGTGGTGGTACACAACTATAATCCCAGCACTCAGGAGACTGAGGCAGGAGCATCACCACAAATTTGAGGTCAACTTTTGCTGGAGAGTGAGGTCAAGGCTAGTTTGAACTACACAGTAAGACACTGTCTTAAATACAGAAATAAAAGGAAGAAACAAAAATGAATAATGTCACAGAGCCATCAAGTAGCTATGATGCAATTCAAACCCAGGGAATTTGATTCTATAGTTCATGCCACTGGTGACAGGTAGCCCTGCCTCACCAGCCAGGAAATCTGTTAAGGATAAATGGCTTTCATTGAATGCAGTGGTGGCACACCTATAATCCCAGCACTCAGGAGGCTGAGAAGGAGGAACGTAGCAAATTCAAAACCAATTTGGGCTACAAGTGTGCTCAAGGCCACTGTTTGGGCTCAACAGCACTGAGACCCTGTCACACACACACATATATACACATACACAAAAGGATAAATGGCTTCCATCAATAAAAGATTTAATATTACTTAAAAAACGTTATTATACTCTAAAAACTGATTCTGACAGATTACCAAACAAACAAAAGGCTCGATTAACAAATATTTCTATATATCTAACATAAAAGATTTAACATGGAAAATTCTACCAGGCTAAGTGGTGCTTAAAATTAAAATAGTAGATCAGCCAGGCAGGGAGCACAGCAATGATCCCAGCTACTCAGGAGGCAGAGGCATGACTGCAAGTTTAAGACTAGTCTGGGCAGCGTAACAACTTAATGAAACCCTGTCTCAAAATAGAAAATAAAAAGGGCTGAAGATTTATACAATTCAGAGCTAAGGCTTGGGTACAATCCCCCATACCATAGGTACAAACAAAAAAATTGAACAAGTAACAACAATGAAACAACCATAAATCACCACAAACTAGCATTCATGGTTAACAAACACAACATGTGATGGTTTATTCATTTGTTTGGTTTGGAGACAAGGTCTCCCTAAGTAGTAGAGATAGCCTTGAACTTGCATATTATCCTGGATGGGCCTCAAATTCACAGTGATCCTTTTGCCTCAGCCTATCCCAGTCCTGGGATTACAGGAGTATACCACCACACCCAGCCAGTGTTATGGTTTATATGTACATGTTCCCGCAAAACCTCACACGCTCATAGATAGGGCTTTTGAAGGTGAGTGGCTTATTCTAGATGGTTGCCGTTAGGTGGGATCTGGTCAGAAGAGATGGGTCACGTGGATGTAGCCCGGAAGCCTATTTCCCGTCCCGGCTCCTCCTTGATTTCTTTCTTGTTTCTCTACTGCCATCCACAGCCACTTTTTCCTCTGCCATGCTGTACTGCTTGAAGCCAGCCAACCATGGGCTGACATTCCCACAAACTGTGAGCCAAAATAAACCTCTTCGTTCAGTTGTGGGGTTTGGATATTTTTGCACCAGCAAGGAGGGAAATAACTAAGACAGGAAGGCTGTCAACTTCTTTAGCAAAGAAAACATTCTAATTAGACCAGTGAGATACTAGGTTTATTTATGACATTAGAGAGATGAAAAATAATTTCTAAGATAGTTAAATTGCCAAATTTTAAATTAGATATATATTTTATTTATATTTTAAATGACTTAAAACATAGTTTCTTAGTTTTAGTTTAATTTTAACAGGATTCTTAAAATATCATCTATTTGGCATATAGAAAAGTTGAGACCTAAACAAGTTGATTATAAAGTTCATCTGGAAAAATAAAAAAAAGAAAGGAAATGATTCCTCTCAAATATTAAACCACAGCCTCCAGCTGGGGATTTAACTCAATGGCATAAGCGGCTGCCTGGCAAGCATGAAGTCTTGAGTTCAAACCCCAGTACCAGAAGGGAAAAAAAAAACACAGCCATGGGCATAGCTCAGTGGCACAATCACCTGCCTGGCAAGCACAAGGTCATGAGTTCAATTCCCAGTACCAAAAAGTTTATAAAAATTAGTGTTAAGAGAATTGGAATTTATAAAAATAGTGTTAGGAGAAATGGAAGAAAAGATTATATGGATGGAGATATACACATACAACTATATGTATATGTGAGCAAGATAGATAATTGTACTACTAATCTCTGTTCATCAAAAAGAACAGTTTGTGTGGTCATTGCTTGACTGATCATTTTTTTTTTTTTTTTTTTTTTTTTTTGGTCTTTTTCATTTTTATCGGTACCAGGGATCGAACTCACGACTGCCTGCTTGTAAGGCAGGCGCTTATGCCGCTGAGCTAAATCCCCAGCCCCTGATCATTTTTTTTTGACTAGATCTTGTAACCTGAACAACTTGTAACCTGAATAACAATATGCAATACATTAACTAGTATTTTCTTTTTAAAATTCTGTATTATTTCTATCTTTTTTCTGTTTTGCTTCTTAAAATTAAAAAATAGTGATAATGCAGAAATAGACAAATCAATGGAACGAAATGAAAAATCCATTAATAAACCCAATTGCATATGTTAATTTAAGATACATTCTAAAATCAGTGGGCAAACAGTGGTCATTTTAAGTTAGTAACATTAGGACAACTGAATACCAAAAAAAAAGACAAAATTCAACATTTCTCATGTCATATACCAGGAAAAATCCAGAGATTTAAATGTTTAAAAAAAAAAAAATTCATGTCTAAGAAGATACATCTGTGAACTTCCATACAATAGGAAATCTTTTCTAGGTATGACTTAAAATGCAGAAGCAATCAGGGAGAAAACTGACAATGTGACTACATTAAAAAAATGTACAGACCTAAACACCATAAATCAAAGACAGATAAGCAGAAAAAACTATTTTCAACTTACATCACAAGAGCTAATATTCCCTATATAAAAAGTTTGTACAATATGAGAACATTAACAATACTTAAAGGGCAAAAATGCACATTGCCCTAAATAAAAGGACACTAAACCTCATTCCTAAGATACATACAATTAAAACTATGACAAGTTACACTACTGCTTTTCCCACAAATGAGCAAAAAACAAATTTGATAACGTTATTGCTGAAACTAACAAAGTACACTGCAATGCCATCATACACTGCTGTTGGCCAAAAACTTAATTATCTAGTATCAATAATTTAAAAATACTTCCTTCCTCTTCCCACAGGTAGGTGCTATGACATCAACACATATGGGCTATAAAAGTCTCCTGGGATACCTTTTATCTCTATTACCTTCCTCACATTGTAGTGGGGTTAGGTAGTGTCCTCCAAAACTCAAACCCACCTAAAAGTTCAGAATGTGACCTTATTTGAAAATCGGGAGCCGGGTGTGGTGGCTCACACCTATAATCCCAGCACTCAGGAGGATTATTGTGAGTTTCAGACCAGCCGGGCTACAAAGTGAGCAAAGCCTGCGGGAACTACATAGAGACCCTGTCTCAAAAAAAAAACAAAAAAAATAAAGAAAAAGAAAATCAGCTATGCCGGGCATGGTGGCACACACGTATAATCCCAGCACTCAAAGATGAGGCAGTTCAGGAGGATGGCAACGAGTCTGAGGTCAACCTGGGTTACAGTGACCTCAAAGCAAACCTGAACTACATAACAAAAATTCAGATCTTTGCAATTTTAAAGACTGAGATGAGATCATGCTGGATTAGGGTGGGCCCTGGATCCTATGAAAGTATCTACAAGGACACAAAAAGATAATTAAGAGCCATACTAACTTCAGAACTGCACTCAGGGATGATGATAAATAGCTAAAATTCTGCTTTAAACATATATTAATTCTATAGCTTTACAGAGTAAATATTAGATAATTATTTTACACAATCATGATCAGGTATAAGTGTGGTTGCTAAAATCTTATAGCCATCCTTGGTGAAAAAGCAAGCCCTAATCAAACTCTGGTTACATTTCTTTTAAGTTATTAGAATGAAATATGATCTCTGGGAACTTAAAACAGATCGTGTAAATTTGCTACATTATTCTACACTTCTCTACAAAATACTGTTTTGCTTTGTTTTTTTTTTGTCTTTTTCATTTTTATCGATACTGGGGATCGAACTCACAACTGCCTGCTTGTAAGGCAGGTGCTTACGCCGCTGAGCTAAATCCCCATTCCCAAAAATACTGTTACGATCTCAGAAAAGTCAAACTTGTACACCATTCAATACACTACCTTTTTCGTCTCCTTACTCTCTACCACCTGAGAAAGCCACTAAATAAATTCTAAAATGACCAGAAAAGCTGGGTGTGGTAAGGCCAGGGGTACAGCTCAATGACACAGCCCCTGCCTGGCAAGTGTGAGGTTGTGAGTTCAATTTCCAGTACCAAAAATAAAGCTGGGAGTGATGGCATTCCTGCAATCTCAGCTCTCTGGAGGCTGAAGCAGAAGGACCTCCAGGAGTGAGAAGCTTCCCTGGGCTGCATAGTGAGTTCAAGGCCAGCCGGAAATACACAGGGAGACTCTCTCACCAAAATAAATAAATAAACAAACAAACAAATAAAATAATCTGAGCAAAAATATAGTTTATATTTTTTGAATTGTGAAAGTTTTTAAAGAAAAAATATGATCTAATTTTGTCTTGTTCTTGAAGAGATGCTAAACAGACAATATATGCTAACAGAGTTTTTACAATTAAAAAAAAATTCCCTCTGCCGATTACCCACCAAATACTGCACGGGCCAAATTTCCAGTATAAATCAGCCTTCCATCTTCTGACTTGCCAAGTTGTGTATGTGAACATCGAACACATCCTTCCCAGCAAGCAGGTATCTATTGAAACAAAAGTAATGAATACATCGCAAATTGCAATTTTTAAATATTTTACATTTTTAAAGGTTAGTTTTAAAATCTAATGAAGAGTAAAAGAGAAGGTGACTTGAATTCTTTCAAATAATCTCCAGAACTAAATAAATCAAACTGGCTAACAGAATAGTTAAGTTAGTTTCAATCTTAAGTAGAAAGGTCAGGGGAAATAGCCTAGTGGTAGCGCTGAACTAGTGTGTGTGAAGCCCAGAACTGGACCCCTAGAACGCAGCCCCAAAATAAGGAGGCACATTTGCGTGTGGAAACCTTGCATAGGAAATTGTTCTGTCGGCACCATGTTGCATCAGAAACCATTGTACTGAATTCATGATAAATATGAGGGGCTGAGAAAGATCAAAGTTTTGAGTCCAGTTTGGGGAACTTAGCGATCTGGCAAAAATCTCTCTCTAAATTAAATAAGTAATAAAAATAAGAAACGTGCTGAGTTGGAGCTTGGTGGGTTTGCATCCCGTCTCAAGTTTTTAGATTTAGTGTGACGCTGAACAAGTAAAAATAGCTTAGCGGAAAAATTTCTTAATGATATCATTCTTCTTCGACTTAAGTTCATTGGCTTTGCAAAAAATAAATTTTATTTTAATATAGTAATCTAGGTAAAACACTGCAAATTTCAATTATATTTATAGTCCAGGTTTTTCTTTTAACTAGTCAACCAAGTGTTTCACTAAAGGCTTTGTAAATAGCTTGTATACCACTTTTAATAGGGAAATTATATGAATCCTGTATCAAATTTCACGAAGAGTTCCTCAAACATTGAAAATGAATTTCATAACGCCCACACTTCAAATTTTAAAAGGCATGCCTAATTCATGTTGAACTTAGTTTCCATTTTAGATATTTTTCTAGGCTTGTCGATCCTGACATTTTATAGTATAGAATTAAGACACAATTTAATTAAAACGAAACGTCCACATCTCACCGAGGACCAAAAGAATTCCTAAAAACACTCACTTAAAACAGACAAAAACACAAAACCTCAGGTTTTCCGGGCCCTTTCGGTTCGAATTTCTTTGCAAATTAACCCTTCTGAGCTTCTGCTCAAGGGTAGAAAAAGGGCTAACCTGAGTTACCCAGACAAACCCACTGATCTCCTGGAATCAGCCCTACCAGCGCCTGGTCGCGCCCCGAAAGTAAGCACGTTCGCCTCTCCCACAGAGCTCAGAGCTTGCTATTTCTGCGAACCCGCCGCAGGGAGCGCTTCCTCCCTCCGGCCAGCCAAGAGCTGGACAGAGACGCCGCACAGGTGCCTGGCCTGGCGCGATACCCACTCCCCGTGCCCCAGTCCAATCCTTGGGCCGCCGACCTGCGCTCGCCCGGGCCGCAGGAGGAGACGCGCGGCTCCCCACGGTCCCGCGATCCCGCCGCCCACCGGCCTCGACGGCCCGCTGCAGGAGGCTGCCCGCGCGGCAACCACCCGGGGACTTCGGAGCGCGACGGCCGCCCACGAGGCCGCCCTCTTCCCGCCAGGCCGCAGTCCCGCCGCCCACGACCCGCCCAACGCCGAGAGCAGCATCCTGAGGATCAGAATTGGAGAAGCACTCGGCGGCGACGAACAACAGCGCGGAGACCCGAGGACCCTGCCGGGCGCGCACGCCCCGCCCCCTGGGACCTTGCTGGGCCGCACCGCCGGCGCCTGTGCGGGCACAAAATTTACTACCGGCTTGCAACATTACCCGCCACGCGAGTTCCCAGGCAGAGGTGCTGTGAGCCCGCCGCAACGGTCCCTATTTTGAGTCCGCAAATCCCCAGCCTGTGTCCAGCTCCCTTTTCTTAGGATTTAGCATTCTTTTTTCCACTCCTCCTTCTCTTGCTGGAGATGAAACCTAGGGCCACGCACAGGTTAGGCAAGTTCTCTCCCACTAAACTGCATCCCAACCATATAAAAATTTTTATTTTGAGACAGTCTTGCTAAGTTGTCCACGCTAGCCTAGAATGTGTAACCCTGCTGCTTCAGTCTTAAGAGTAGGTAGGATTGGGGCTGGAGATACAGCTCAGTGTCACAAGCACCAGCCTGGCAAGCGAGAGGTCCTCAGTTTGATCGCTGGAATCCAAAAAACCAAAACAAAAAAGGTAGCTAGGGTTACAGGAGAACCTGTCACATGTACCTAGCTGGGTTTGGCCCATGGCCAACAGCTAAATCTTACTATTGTGGACTTCATTTTGTGGGCCCTAAATTTTTTTTTGCTTTGGTGAAATGACTGTAGACTATCGGCACAAAAAAAGAAAGTAATATGATTTGAACAAAAATGAATAAGTGTTCAAGCACTGGGATGGTCGAAAAATGGAATTTGTTCATTAACCATTAAAAAATATTGGATGATAAAACAACGAAAAACAAACAAAGCTAAGGAATTTGTCTAGATGTTCCTTTTCTGTGCTCCAAATGCCTCATTTCCCTGTCAATTACTTATTTTGAGCTACCAAAGCAGTCAAAAAAAAAAAAACTTTTACTAATTCTGCGAAGTTGACCTATGGCAGCATGTTCCATTCTTTTTTTTTTGCAATTTTTTTTTTTTTTTGCATGTTCCATTCTTGTAATTCTAAAAGCACTTTTTAAAATCTGCTAAATCCACTAAAAACATTTCAGGCAAAAATCACTAGTCAACAAAGTACATTTTCTTTATCTGGACATTGTTACACGACAGTGTCTGGTTGAGTAGCCTGCAACAATCCCAGCCCTAATGATACAGGGGAATTAAACTCCCAACCTCCTATGTCCAGTATGAGCTCCTGTTCTCTAAAATCAAAGAATGAATTTTAGGAACAATGGAGGTTAAGAGTAGAATATATTTATTGAGAGAAAGACAGCTTCCGTCTGAGAGACAGAAGGGATCCTGAGCGGGTTGCCAAAGATTTTGAATTTTCTCAGGATTTTTATAGAGTAAAATCTCGAGGTGAGGCAGGTCTAAAGTTGGGGAAAACTGGGAACTCGCGAGGTAGACGTGTGTGAGGTGGGACAGAGCTATGTTCAGCCAATAAGTTTAATTGTTTAGGTAAAATTGACCAAGTCAGGGAGAAATGGGGAATCCAGTCACTTAGCAAGCAAGCATTCTTTTGGATCAGTGATGCTTCCTTTAGGGGGTTGGGATGGTGACTCCTGGCTTCTCAAGGTGAGCCAGTCGTAATCCCTAAGGATTATATTGAAGGGTACGGTTGCATGGCCCACAGCAAAGAGGTGTGTATCTCCTCCAAGGTCACTATAGACATCTGGTCCTCGGTGCCGACTTGATGGCCTAACCCTGTCTGACTGCCTATAATATTTTTGGGTTGTTTTTTTTTTTTTTTTTTTTTTTTTTGTCTTTTTCTTTTTTATCGGTACCGGGGATCGAACTCATGACTGCCTGCTTGCAAGGCAGGCGCTTATGCCACTGAGCTAAATCCCCAGCCCCTGCCTATAATATTTCTAACTAGCTCAGCTGCCTGTAATACTAACATTCTCTTCAGGTCACACTCCACCAAAACAGTAGAAGGTAAACTTAATTTAGCTGTTTCAGCCTTCCTGGAAAAGTCCCCGATAACCGCAAAAAAGCAAGCAAAAAGTAAAGAGCGGTGCGGAAACCGGGCGGGGTCAACCGGAGCGCTGAATGAGAAAGATGGTCTCACAATTGAGTACAGGCGCCAAGATTTGCTGTAAACTCATTACTTAGCAAAGCCTGGCAATCTCTTGGGACCGGGGAATGGCCCTCAGGGTGGGAGTAGGGACGTGTCTAATTTTCGTTAAACATCGAATGTTACCGAGAAAGGAAGAAATGAAGCTAGCTGAGCGAGCCCTTGAGGTGACTGTCAACTCGCGCTGCAACTTTTCAAAGAAAAGGGCAGAAGCGGCGTCCTTAAGCGCCCGACCTTCATGGCGCTACCGCGTCTCGATCTTTCCACTGCAGTCTCCCACTTCCAGGCGTACCCTCTAACAGGAGCCAGGGAAAAACTTTCAAAACCACCAAAATCTTAACACGCACTACAAGCCCCAGCACTCAGCGCGGTCTGGGGCCAAACACCAAAACGGAGCCGCCAGAAAAACTACAAAGCCCAGGACACAAGGCTCCTTAGGATCCTGAGAGCCTCTCTGCAGAAATTAGATCCGGTCAGTGCTGCATGCCGGGAATACAGAAGACTTGGAATCTGATTGGTTGAAATTTGCCAGTGCCATCTCTTAGGTGGGGCAGTGTTCCCAAAAGGCACGGTAGGGGGCGCTACGTACTTCCTGCAAACGGAAGTGGGCGCCTGCGTCCGTCCGTAGGTCCCCGCCTCATCAGGTACTGATCTCCCGCGCGACGCCGAGAGCTGCTGTGACCTAGCGGAAGTAATTCCTTGGACTGCCCCGGAACCCACAGGGACAGGCAACTGGGGGTAGAGGGGCGGCCCTGGAGTAGGGGCTGCGGCGGTAGGGAGAGACTTGGCTGCGGTCGCTGTGGTGCCGAAGAGTGAGTCTGGGATTGGGGCGGGGACTGAGGTCGGGGTTCGCGTCGGGGACGAGAGAGACCGGGACTGGAGGAGTCTGCAGGCTCTTTTCTCACACCTTCCCATCTGGGCGGGAAGGAACGGAAGCTCTTAACCTCCCGGGCCTCCTTGGGTCCCGGTTTGGGGGAGGGGAGGGCGGCGGGACCTTCAGAGGCGCCCCTCGGTGAGCTTGAAAAGCGGTGGAAGAAGGGGTGGCTGAGGGTGAGAACGCTGTTTCTGGGCTGAACGTGGGGAGGGTGGAGTTAGCATGGCAGCCCTGTCGCTTTTCATTTTTACTTTTCTCCTGCACTCAGCTTCATTCTTTTCTTGAGGCAGATTCCTAAACTCAGGAGAGTGTCCTCATTCATACCAGCTATGAGACCCCTTTAAAAAGTTTGTTTTACTCAGCTTGTTGGGCGATCTCACTGACTTGGTGCTTTGGGGTTTTCGTGCATCTGTCTCCCAGTCTTGTCTGAGAAGACGGTATGTATTATCAAGTACCGTGCCCTCTAAGTTTTTCCTAAGGAGCTAAAATCTCTTTAAAGTCTTTTTAGCAATATCTATTTAACTATGAAGTGTGTCGTTCCTTCTGAGCATTTCTACTGTACATTTCTCTCATATAGAAAACTGTTGAACTCTTGAACTCTTTAGTCCTAGAGATACCGTTTTCAGACTGCCAAATTTGTTTTGTCTGTGTGTATGTGTGTGTGTGTTATGTTTTAGACTGGCTTCCAATTCATTTTACCCCAGGCTGGATAGGAACTTTTTTGAGAGAGAGTGTGAGAGAGAGAGAGTGACTCCCTATGTAGTTCAGGCAGGCTTGAACTCACAATTTAGCCCAGGCTGACCTTTAGTAGCAGTCATCCTGCCTCAGCCTCCTGAGTGCTGAGATTACAGATATGTACCACCGCGTCTGTCTGTGTCAGGAACTCTTACCTTTATTATTGTCCTGCCTCAGGCTTCCAGAGTGTTGGGATTACAGACACACCAACATAGCAGATTTACTTTTTGATCCTCAAATAGGTAATCACTTTTCCGTTGTGTGGCCTAAAACGATAAATACCTTATCTTATTTACATTATAACAGAGGATTTAGCTCAGCGGCAGAAGCGCCTGCCTGGTAAGTGCGAGGCTCTGAGTTCGATCCCTGCCCGGTACCACCCCCCCCCCAAATTTACATTATAGTTCATGTTGTTGGACATCACAGTTCACACTTAACAAGAAAACAATTGTTGTCACTTCTCGCATGGATATTTGTTTGTTGCTAGCGATTATTTGGGATTCTAATTTGTTGGGTTTTTTTTTTTCTTTTTCTTGCTGTGTTGGGGATTTACCACACATTAGGCCAAGTGCTGGACCACTTAGCTACCCCTTTTTCTAATTATGAGATTTATCTAATGACCATCTTTTAAAAATACATATATTTCAAATGGAGAGAACCAGTTCTATTACTAGATAGTAATTGTGTAATATAATTAGATGATATGTGCCTAACAGTTACAGTTAACTCCTGTGTATTAATTTCTAAAATATTGTAATGCTCTTTGGGTGCGTTTTTTTTTATTGTTGAAAAATAATCAGGAAAGTTTTTTAATTTATACAATTATGTGTTAGTGCTTTTCAGTAAACGCTTTATTGTTACATTATTAAGTAAGATCAGACAAAGTTAATCAAGCAATGCCTGAAATTCTTTTCTTTCTTGTCTTTGGTTTTTGCTGAAGACCAACCCAAGATCTTGAGCATGCTGGGCAGGTACTCCAGTATGGAGCTACACCTCCAGCCCATGATACCTGAAATTTTAAGCTTCAGAGATTGAAGAAAATGATAGCGTTCAAGAGATATTTATTAAGCATCTATTCTATCAGGCACTTTTTTCAGTCTACCTTTTGGAACTTGAGAAAAGCCACTCACTGAAATAGGGAAGATGAGAGAGGGAACATCATCTCTGAGAGAGCTATCAGTAGTTCTATACAGGACTTACTGAGTTTGCTAACTAATTTACCTGAGAATATGTTTGGAAGGCAACTTAGATATCAACTGCTGGTACTCAGGGAAGAAGCCAGAACAGGAAAATAATCTTAGATGCTATTTAAACCTGTGGACTGGAAGACATCCAGTAAAAGAACGTTAATGGAGAACAAGGGGGTGGGCTAGGAGTACAGTGGTCAGAAGAGAACTGGGGAAGAAAAGGCAAGAGTTTAGCCTCTGGGGTACTAAGGAAGACAATGTTTCTAGGAGAGTTGTGATCACTGTAAAACACTACAATGAACAAAGTAAGGATAAAAAAGTTAACCATGTGACCAAGCAAGTAGTTCACATTTGGTAAGATCATCTTGAGTATGTTAGAGTAGATTAAGAAGTAAATGATGGCTGGAAGGTATAGCTTCAGTCCCCAGCATCAAAGGAAAAAAGTGAATGGATGGTAATTGGAAGTAGCAGAGAGGGGAATAACTACAAAACAAGACCTTGAGTGAAAGGGGATCAGACTCAGTGTTTAAGGGGAAGGTAACCTTAGACCAGAAGAATGGTTTGGCTTTGGAGACAAAAGGATTGGGCAGCAGATATGGTTTATAGATGTAGGCAATCAAGATAGGCAATTGAAATAATTTGTTTCAGTTTATTTTTAGTTCATTCTAAAGGTTCTTTTAATTCTTTTATAATAGAATTTGTGATTGTATATAATGCGAATAACTGCTCATACTCTTTTTGGTTTTGAGTGGTTTTTTGTTTGCTTGTTTTTGATGCAGGGACTCACAGATTGACCTTGAACTCACTGTGCAGCCCAAGCTGACCTCAAACTCCAAGCCATCTTTCTTCCTCAGCCTCTTGAGTGCTAGGATTACAGGCTTGCCCCAGCATCCCTGGCTACTTTTGACAATTTGAAACAAAGGAATTCTGTAGACTCTATTGAATTTAAGAAAGAAACTAATAGTTTACAGAGATGAGGCAGACATTCAATGGGAAAATGTCTTTTGTGTTGTCTGGGCATGGCTTCTTTAAAAAGATAAGAAGTTGAGTCTATTGGAGGGGAAAGATTAATTTCAGATGGATTCAGTTACAAAATGATAGTTCTAAAAGGGACTTTTAGGCACAAGTTAGTCACATTCTGTTGTTTGGGAAATGAAGAATCAGAAGTTCTGTTGCATAACTTGTATCTTGGTCAGGAAAGAAATGTCTGATGTATAAATTCACATATGGGGATAGTTTTGGGTCCACGTAAGGTACTGTATTCATTGAGATTTATTTGGTAGAACTAGTTCTTAATTTCTTTTCTGATTAGAGACCCCTTAAAATTCTGATAAAAACTTTGTATCGTTTTGCTCAAACCTGGAACTACAGATAAACCCAAAAATGCACATATGGATTTAAGGGCTTGAGATTCTGCTGCTTCTTATCCATGGACTCTTTTTTTTTTCAAGACAGTAAATATATTTTAATTGCATTTTTAATTTTTCAACATGAGGCAAAAGGAAATATAGTTCTTAACCAGTATTCACACAGTTAAAGCGAAATATTGTAGACTTCAGGGATTTATAAGTGATTACATTTCTCAAAAAATTGGGATCAAGATAATTTAACTTTTTGAATTTTCCCGTTGACTTTTTACAGTAGTAACAAGTTCTAGTTACATTAGATTCAAGGCGAAGTTTTAATCACTCTCATCAGTGCCTACTAATTCTACTTTGAAAATAAGTTTTGCATTTGGTGGAATTTTGGCATCATGCTGGTTCACTCTTCTCACCTTTACTCATAGTGAAGTGCTTCGTCTCAGCCTCGGATAAACTCTGCCCTCTCCAGCCTTAATATTGAAAGACTTGGTGGTTGGGAATTTAGCTCAGCAGCAAGGCATCTGCCTGGCAAGTATGAGGACCTGAGTTTGATCCCCAGTACCAAAAAAAAAAAAAAATAGGCTTGGCATTTTTTCTTTAAACTGGTTTGAATATTAGTATTAAAAATTCCCATCTGGTAGCATTCTTGTATACCGGCAGTGAATAGCATCTCCCATTTTGGTAAAGTTGGTCTTATCTCCCTTTTTCAGAATAGATTTTGTGTATGTAGGGTTCTCATCCCAAAACTTGGGTTTCCTTAGACTTTTCATTAAGCTTCCCAACGTCAGTCACTTTACTTACACTTTCAGTACCTTTAAAATGCTTAGTTTCAAAAAGATGGTTATAGGTTATAACCAAATGAGCAAGCTTAGCAACATTTTTAATGTTTCTTAAAAATTTATGCTCTTCGAGAAACAAACCTGAACCGTAATCCTATAGAAACTTGATTATGTCCTTCTTGGACAGCTGTTCTATGGTCCACACCCACTGTGGCAGGCAGCTGCCATCATCCTGATCCATGAATTTATTTGTAATGTGAAATTTAAATTTCTGTGCCCATAAATAAGATTTTTAGAACACAACTACACTCTTATTTACATCTTGTCTGGTGGCTTTTGCACTCCAGTTGCAGGATTGGAATACTCATGACATAGACCTATGGCTTGCTAAGCATAAAATATTTGCTATCTGGTCCTTGCAGAAAAAGGTTGTGCCGCCTTCCCCTAACACTCCCATTTAAATGTAAGTTTCTCTATTGGGTGGGATATTTGTTTTGCCCACAGATTTTTCCCAAGCATCTAGAACAGTGATGGTGAACCTTTTAAAGCTTTCAGTGCTACAAATTATGTCACACATGCCTTAGTCTCACCCCCACTGATTTAAAACAATGCCTGGCACATGGTAGGCGTTCTGAGTGTGTATGTGTGTTAGAAATCAACTTTTGGTTGAGAAGTAAGAGTCATAGAAGTTAATGTTTTTGTTTACTGTGTGCTAATGACTATTCTGTGATTGAATAAAATTTTATTTGTTTGCAATAACCCTGTGAGGTACATGCTTTATGATTCCCATTTTACTGTTGAGGAAACTAGGCACAGAAAGTCATATAATTTCCCTATAGGTAGGAATTGACAAAGGCTGTCTACAGTATATTATGT